AGAGACGTATGTCATGCTATTGATTATTGTACCTTACCTTGTAAGTGAAAGTATAATAAATATAATAAAGTGTGATAGTCATTTGCTCTTTTCAAAAAAAAAAAAAAATTATAGCTTAGATATAAAGTATTTTATAAAAATTATATATTTAATATTTATTAAAAAATTATTTATATATTTATTTTTTTATTTTTTTATATTTAATATAATTAAGCAATTATTAATTTTAATTAATACAAATTAAATTTATTAAAAAAATAAAAATGTTTTTGTTATAGATTGTTAAGTAGAGTTTTTATATTTAGTTGCAGAAATAAATAATTTATTATTATGAAGATATAAAATTTTTAAGAATATTTGTTTTTTAATTGGCAAAAGAATTAGTGAAATATTAAAGTTTAATTAAAATTTATATTTATATTTATAATTTTAAATACTTTAATAATTCCTTGATTTTTTAAAAAATAATGCAAGATTTAATTAATATTAATAATTGTTATTTTTTTATAATTCTTAACAATTTAAATTATTACTTTGCTAAAAAAACAAAAAACAAATTCTTTAAAATCGGAATGTCTAATACATGAACCGAATCGCTAATAGCAACATCTGCACGGAAAAAATAAATACGTACGTGACTACCATAAAGAGGTTGATTAAGCAGGCGAGATGCGCTTTTGTGATACAAAGAGATATTTTGTCCCACTTCCTTTACGCTTAAATAACTCAAATGGAGATTTTGTGTTATAACCAGTGGAAAAAAGATTCTTTGAATTATTAATTATCTTCCATCAAAAGGCAAGCGGATTTATCCTTTAACATTTATAGTTTCGCCATCAGGGTTATCAGTCGGAAATAAGGTTGATCTTTGCCAATTTCTCAATTCTAGCATACAGAACAGCAAATTTTTTAAAGAAAGAAACGAATTTATAGATGATGATGCAACAGAGAACGCCAACCGACATTGTTTTGCTGATAGAATCTTTAAAAAGGTCAGGCCCACGATATCGGTGATCTTTTTACAATGTACGTACCAAGAACCAAAAATCATTCAACGAAGAATTATTATAAAAAATTTTTTCTTGGAAATTATCTATAATATAATTGAGGAGAGTCCGATTGTACATACGTGCGTACGATGTTTATTTACGGTTACCATAATGACTTAATTAAAAATTTATACTTTAGCCCATCGCACAACGACCAGAATGTGGCGTCGTTTTGTTCATGTGCAAATCAAAGCCCTTTTACTCGCATCTGATCGATCTACTCTGTTCAAGTGACTTGGCTGGATAAATTCGGGATATCAATTATTGTACAAATTAAAAACCAATAACTTCGTTTTTTTATCTGGCATTGAGCAGATATCATGAAGTTTGGTCACCATTTGAAAACTTCACTCTATCCAGAGTGGACCTTTTATTATCTTGCTTATGACGAGCTTAAACACGAAATAAAAACAAGGACTCGTAATGGATGGAGTGAAGACGATGAGTTATCTTTTGTCGAGCTGCTTGAGAAAGAACTCGACAAAGTCTTTACCTTCCAGACAGAGAAATCTAACGAAATCAATATAAGAATTCAAAATATTGAGAGGGAGATTACTGCTGATTCTAGGAATGCAACAGATGAAGATTATATTTTACTGGAGGAAGAATTATCTATGATTATTGCTGACGTTCATGACCTTGCGAAATTTACTCGTTTAAATTATTCTGGTTTCTTGAAAATCATAAAGAAACATGATGTAAGTAATTTTAGTTCTTTAATGATCATCAACGATTTTCTTTTTATTGGTCGTTACGTTAACAGTGTAACACAAACACGTTTAAAATTATCGAAATTAGAAAAAAACCAAATGGGTTCTCAAGCCCATGTTTATGGTCCGACTGAATGCAAAGCCCTTTTACAAGGAAAATTATGACGCGTTAATTGTCAAGCTATCACGCCTTTACGAGATCGTTCGTACTCGCGGTAATCCGGTAAAGGGTAACTCGTCTGCCGGAGGCCAACAACAAAATTTTGTGCGAAACACAACAAAGTATTGGGTTCACCCCGATAACATAACCGAACTCAAGCTTCTCATATTAAAGCATCTTCCTGTTTTAGTATTTAACCCAAATAAGGAATTCGAGGAGGCTGATTCGGCTATTACGTCGATTTACTATGATAATGAGGATTTTGAACTTTATCTCGGTCGGCTGGAAAAAACTGAGGGGGCTGAAGCTATACGGTTAAGGTGGTATGGGGGAATGGACTCCAACGAAATATTTGTAGAACGTAAGACACATCGAGAGGATTGGACGGGTGAAAGTTCGGTGAAAGCACGTTTTCCATTAAAGGAAAAATATGTTAACAAGTATCTTCGCGGGGAATATTTTATCACAAAACATCTGGACAACATGCGTGCAAAGGGGAAAAGTGAGAAGGAAATCGAAGCTGCAAAACGACTGGCCAATGAAGTTCAATATCGTGTTCTTACCAAAAAATTGAAACCAGGTAGGCCTCAGGAGTGTACTTGTGCACGCGTTGTTGAAGGAAACAGCTAACATGCAATTGAATTTTCCAGTGATTCGATCTTTTTACAACCGGACAGCTTTTCAATTACCCGGTGACGCTCGTGTTCGCATATCACTCGACACTGAATTATCCATGATCCGTGAAGATAATTTTGAGAACAATCCAAGAAACCGTTCCGGTGATAACTGGCGTAGAATGGATATTGGCATTGATTATCCGTTTTCTCAGTTACCCGATAGCGATATTGAAAGATTCCCCTATGCAGTTTTGGAAGTCAAGCTGCAGACTCAATATGGTCAGGAACCACCAGAATGGGTTCGAGAATTAGTATCGAGTCATCTAGTGAGTTTCTTGTTCCTTCGTATTTCTCATTATCTAGATTTATGAATTGACTGCTAATCTCGTTGTCTTTTTTGAAAGGTTGAGGCAGTTCCCAAATTTTCCAAATTCATTCACGGTGTTGCGACCCTAATAGATACACGACGAGTTCAACTCTTACCATTCTGGCTTCCGCAGATGGATGTAGATATCCGCAAGCCGCCCAGTAATTTCCGTCTTCAACGTCCGGCTAGTGTTGGTCTCGGTACTGCTTTGATTGAAGGCAATGACTTACTGGAGCAGGATGCCGATCGAATCGAAGTTGTAGTTGACGATGCAGATGAGAATTCTGATATTGAAAATGCAGATGAGGGAACACCTTTGCTTACGCGCTCAAATCAAAGGCCGGCGATACAAACACGCGAATTACAATCAGATTCTCTATCGCTGGATGCAGATGAAATTCTAGCTGCTTCTGGAGGTCGGATTCCGGAAACATTCCAGGGTAAACGCATTGCAGTTCCTGTACGCGTAGAGCCTAAGGTATTTTTTGCCAACGAGAGGACACTCTTATCTTGGTTAAATTTCACAATAATTCTGGGTGGGTTGGCTGTTGGATTGTTAAATTTTGGTGACAGGATATCCATCATTGCGGCTGGAATGTTCACCGCAGTATCAATGTCTATGATGATGTACGCGCTTTTCACTTATCATTGGAGATCGTACATGATCAAGAAAAGACATTCGGGACCGTATGATGATAGAATTGGTCCTACATTCTTGTGTGTAGCACTGTTGGTTGCTGTGTTAGTTAATTTCATTTTAAGAATTCGAGAGCATCACCAACAAGTTTAATGTACAATCCTTCTGTGAAACGTTCTTTAAATCTTTCTAGAGAATATATACATAACTTTCAAATGTTTGACATATTTATTATTCACATGCATCAAAGATCCTTGTTTCGCTGTATTCATTACCCGTTGATCATGTGAATCAGATAATCTAGAACAAAAAAAATATGATCGACACGGGTCATTTTTCATTTTTGTACAATCTAAAATTGCAAGATTATCATTCCTTATAAATAAATGTATTGTGGCACTCAACAGGTTGATGTGATCTTGTAATTTAAAGATTTTATTGCGGCTGTAGTAATCACTAATCTCAATGGTAGACAAGAAAGAAGCTTTCAATATTAACTTTGCGGCTGTAACGAGAAATTACTCAGTAACACCTCGTATTGGTATGCTAGAAGTTCAAAAAATGATGTCGCATTCTTTATTTAAAGTTCAGGCAATTCAAATTTAATTTAGGTTTTGGACTCGGTGCAATACCCCTTAAAATATCATTATACACATTTTGTCTGATCACATTTACCTTTATTCTCAAATGATAAATAGATTATCGAACGGTTGCTAGTGTAAATGGGCCTCTAGTAGTTTTAGATAATGTTAAGGTATCTATTTCTCGAAAAAAACACAGATCTGTTTTGCTTAAACTAAATTGCTGATCGATTTTACTTTGTGATATAAAGTTTCCAAAATTTTCGGAAATCGTGAATTTGACATTGCCCGATGGTTCATGTCGAGCCGGCCAAGTCTTAGAAATCCAAGGAAAGAGGGCGATAGTCCAGGTATTGCCTCGACTTTCCAAGCTCTACGTCTTATAATAATGTGAAATTAATTGAAAATGTGATTAAGGTTTTTGAAGGAACTTCCGGTGTTGATGTAAAAGCGACTCATGTAGAGTTTTCTGGAGATACCTTAAAGATTCCGGTATCCGAAGACATGTTGGGTCGTATATTCAATGGTTCAGGAAAAGCTATTGATAAAGGTCCAAAAGTTTTCGCCGAAGACTTTTTAGATATTAATGGTATGACCGATCAACAAGTTTTGAATTAAACAATTCGACATATTGTAATTATTATCTTTTTTTTTTTTTAGGGTCTCCTATAAATCCTTACTCACGTATTTACCCTGAAGAAATGATTCAAACTGGTATCTCGGCAATTGATACTATGAACTCGATTGCACGTGGTCAAAAAATTCCAATCTTTTCTGCAGCCGGGTTACCCCATAATGAAGTGAGTTATTTCACGTTATTTGTTCTTTTGATCAAACAGCGAATTCTCAACGTGTTACTTGATGTTTTTAGATCGCCGCACAAATTTGTCGTCAAGCTGGTCTTGTCAAAAAGGTTGACAAGGGAGTGTTTGATGATCATGAAGACAATTTCTCAATTGTATTTGCCGCTATGGGTGTCAATATGGAAACCGCGCGCTTTTTCAAGCAAGACTTCGAAGAAAATGGGTCGATCGAAAGGGTTACATTATTTTTAAACTTGGCAAACGATCCAACGTAAGCTTTCCAATTCATATTCTTGTTTTTTTCATGAAGGATTTGTTTTGTAACCATTGTCACTTTTAGCATTGAACGTATTATCACTCCACGGTTGGCTCTCACCACTGCCGAATATTATGCCTATCAGTTGGAGAAACATGTTTTAGTTATTTTGACCGACATGAGTTCGTACGCTGACGCTCTGCGTGAAGTAAGTGTCTTTTTTAATAGGTGCTAATGACTGACCGATGAGTATCCCACCTTAACGCACATGATATTGTTAGGTTTCTGCTGCGCGTGAAGAGGTACCTGGTCGTCGTGGATATCCGGGTTATATGTATACAGATTTATCTACAATATATGAACGTGCTGGGCGTGTGGAAGGTAGAAACGGGAGTATCACCCAGATTCCTATTCTAACTATGCCGAACGATGGTACATATATTATCACACGGTCACATATCTGAGGGTTTGCCTGAATATTCGATTAAAATTTTAAATGCATAAATTCTTTGTTCAAAGATATTACTCATCCTATTCCGGATCTGACGGGATATATTACGGAGGGTCAAATATTTGTTGACCGTCAATTACACAATCGTCAAATATATCCGCCTATCAATGTTTTACCATCACTCTCACGATTAATGAAATCTGCCATTGGTGAAGGTAGGACAAGGAAAGATCATGGAGACGTTTCAAACCAACTTGTGAGTTTCATATATACATTAGTACAATGTTATTTACATTTTTTTGGCATTCATTAAGTTGTAACTGTGTTCTTTGTTAGTATGCCAAGTATGCCATTGGCAAAGATGCTGCCTCCATGAAAGCGGTGGTTGGTGAGGAGGCTCTTGGTCAAGAAGACAAACTTGCTTTGGAATTTTTGGAAAAATTTGAAAAAACATACATCGCCCAAGGTATTGCTTTTTTCCTGTTATTTTTATTATTATTAGAATGTCAAACATATTGATTATGTGTAATTTTTCAGGTGCATATGAATCTAGGACGATTTATGAATCGTTAGATTACGCATGGTCCCTTCTTCGTATCTTCCCAAAGGAAATGCTAAATCGTATACCACAAAAAGTTTTGCAAGAATTTTACCAACGTGATAGGAAGGCAAAAGGAAGTAGAAATAGAACGGAAGAATGAAAATTCAGTGGCTTGCAATTGATTAGTTCACATTGTTACTACGATGTTATTTTTAGATTAATCACATGGGATATTTACTGTTTTTATTATTAACCGAGTCATTGAATCAAGTATACCTTCTGAATGCATACTCTTTAGCATTTGTATAGTAATCATTTTAATTTATCTATAAAAATCACTCAAGAATTTTTAGCATTCTTTTGAAATATTGATCCTGTTTATTAATGTCAATGCATTAAATAAGATTGATAAAAGATTGATTATAATTTTTTCGATGAACAAATTCAATGAAAAATTAAAAATTTAAATAACAAAATTTAAACCATTATATATTGTATATATATATATATTTTTTTTTTTTAATGTTAAGGTGAGACATGTCTCATTATCTTTATTAATACGTAATTATTATTATTACATGGTTAAT